AGAGAGAAAGAGAGAGAGAGAGAGAGAGAGAGAGAGAGAGAGAGAGAGAGAGAGAGAGAGAGAGAGAGAGAGAGAGAGAGAGAGAGAGAGGGAGGGAGGGAGAGGGAGAGCAGACAAGGTATGGAGTAAGAGACTGAACCTGTGAGCTACAGGCATGTAAGAATGAAGACGGTCGGCCACCTTTGAAGCTCCCAGACCCCCCCTGCGTTCCTATTTGTTTCCTGACAAGCAATAGGAACATATGAGGCATAAACCCGCACTGCCCTGCCTGGCGCCCCGCCCCCCCTTCCTCCACCCCCAAAACCCTCCTGGCGGGGGTGCCCACTCCTACCTTGATTCGCAATGCTGGGCCCTCCTCATTAGACTGTGGTGGCTTATTGTGTGGTAACTAGGCTGAAAGAAAATGATACGCCACTCTCTGGGGTACTGCCTCACCCCCTCTGATGGTCGTGATTGGTACTTATTTCGGCTACAGTTGGCAGTATCTGGGTAACCTCATTAAATTCATGGCAGTTTATTGCGCAATTTAAGTCCAATGAAAGAAAAGGATGCGCAGAAGCGCTGCTCTAAGTGACATTAAAAATATTTTCTGCTGCCGAAGGGGATGAGGTGGAGGTGTTTCAAGCGCATTTATTCGTGATAAAGTCTCTCTCAGTCTCTCATTGCCTGTAGGTCGTATCTTAGCATGATTCAAGCCAATTGGAAGATGTTCCCGCTCATCAACCATGGTGTTGAGTATAATAAACCTCATTATTATTATTGCATATCGTGACCTACATTAATTGTAGAATATCATAAAAAATGAAACTCGACTTGCTACAGGAGATATAATGAGTAGTTCACTTGGGGAATCATCATCATCGCTGTGTTGGGTCGATCGCTTAAGTGGTTCGTAAAGCTAAATTAGACTCGGAGGCAACATTGCAGTTGCACATTTCTAGGCTCATAGTATGTGCACATTGATTTCCATAGTGCCTTATGTGCACTATAGAAATATATGTGCATATAACCGTATATGCACTACTGAGAGGGTGCACAAGTCGGCCCTTTTATAGTAAGGCTTATAAAACCAGAGCTCTCAAGACAGATATTTTAAAAATAATACAGTAAATAATATATAATATGATAAAGTAAGCAATAAAATAATATAATACATTAAATAATAAAATAATACTACTAACAATAATAATGAAAATAATAAAATAATAAAAATATAAATAATAATTATAATAATAATAAAAAATTATAATAACGCAAATAGTATTTAATAATTTTGCCTTCAAATTTTTATATATGAGACGCACGACCAAATGTTATATTAAAAACAAACACACACTAAAAAAGGTTGATTAAAGCAGTCATAGTTGTATGTAAACCCAACAACAAAGCTATAATTCTAAACCAGAGCTGAAGGAAATATTTCTCCATCACATCAACGCCGCCATAATCTCCATCACCTTGCTGGCCGTGTGCAGCTGGAGGCGGCACACACACACACACACACACACACACACACACACACACACACACACACACACACACACACACACACACAAGGCACGAGAGTCTAGCTGTGTGCATATAAAGAGTGACTGGAGTGCGGGGCTCAGTTATATGAGCACTAGCAGGGTGCAGCACGCCAGGTCTAAGGTCAACCTTGTCAGCAATGCCATCCTCTCTGCCTCCCTTTTCTCTTCCGATTCCTTCTACACCCCACTCCCTCCCCCGTATCAATCCCCCAATCCTCCTATCCTCTCCTCCCCTCACACACACTCCCCAAGGCGTCACTGCCTTTCCCCCTACCATCCTCACTTATTCCCCACGTCTTTAATACACTCGCCACCCTACACTCCCCCACCATACACCTTTTAACCATTAATATAACTCGGCAAATCCAAACCCAATACCCCCCCTTACAATCCCTGACCCCAACACTACCAGTCCCAGACCCACACACCCAACCCCACCGATTATTCATCAACCCCAACGTCATTCCCCACGAAACTCCACACTTCCCCATCCACAAAACACCTGCATCCCACTATCTCACTCAACACAATCCCCACTTCCCCCACGCCCCCGAAAAGCACGTTTTCTCGACCCCATACGTCCGCCTCACCCCCTCATAATTCTCATTTCAACACTTCCCCCTCTTCATCCCCCACAGATCAAACCCCAATTCACGCAGGAAGTCAATGAGACTCGTATATCGAGTCAAAACTTCAAATAGTCTGATAAATGTTTGGTATACGGAGTAGCACTGTAAGGCGCTTCCCACTGTATGGGAAGATACTGAGGCCCTACCATGGGATCGAACCCACGAACCTCTTCACTCCATGTACACACGCACTACCTTGTAGGCCATGATGGGGTTTCAGAAAACACGATAGGAGGTGCTATCTGACTTACATGGAGGTTGGAAGGGCACCAACCGGTGCGACAGTGCAGGTTTTTTTTACCAGGTATCCGGTAATTATAATCCGGTAACTGTCAACACTTAGTGTCTGGAGTGATGTTCCCATCTACCGCCACCCGTTAATGATACCCACTTACACTTTCTGTAAGTGAGTGGGTATGATGAATGGGACTAGAATGCAGCTACAATAATTCCCGGAGATGTTTATATATATGCTTAGGAAAGGAAAGTGTGGATATGGATCCACATGTAAGTTTATCTATCCTGATATGCGCAAAACTTCACTCAAGGATAGAAAATGTTATGAACTCAGCTGCCCACAATTTCACGTGAAAAGCAAAGAACGCTACATACAAGTAGCAAGATAATGGATCTGGAGGAAACTCAAATTTTTTTTTATACCAAGACGAAAGAGATTTCATAATGGGAAACAGAGAATACATGGAACTGGATGACAGACCCACTTGCATACCAGAAGCACAGATACAATTACACACCTCAACAGAGCTACAACTGCGATAGGAAACAACCCTACAACAATCAGCACTGGTCAGAACAAACTCGATTTGCCCACGCATATTGGACCTGCCAGAAAAGTCTCCCAGTCAAACCACCTGAAACAGAGTAATCTTATTCATCTTTGCCAACATACATGGACTAAAACAAGAGTCCATGTATGTTGGCAACAACAACAAGAGAAAAGAAACAAGAGAATATGGAAGAAAATGCAGAATGAAATACCGTTCATAAATGGCCTCCTCACTGAGTCAAAAGCAGTATTTGGAGCTTTCACATAAACCCATGCAGGGGAATTCTTGGTCAGTGAGGTCTGGATACAAGGACATAATCTATACAGGTGTGATAGGGTAAATAGATCATATGGAGGAGTGGGTCTGCATATTAGGCAGGACCTTGTTTGCTCGGAGCTCCTTAATTCTACAAATTAGGTGGTAGAGGTACTGGGAGTAAAAATAGAGAAAATAAACTTAGTTATTATTCTAATATACAAACCGTCAGAAGCAACAGCTGAGAAATTCACAGAACAGATAAAATAGAGAATAACCTTGAAAATTTGGCCAACCCGAAACCTATTATTTTCCTAGGTGACTTCATCCTGCCTAGTCTAAGATGGAGAACAGAAAACCAAAATATTATACCAGGAAATCTATCTGGACATAACCAACCACAAATTTGAAATTTACTTAGATTCTGTGACAAATTTTCACTCAGCCAGCAGATATCAGAGCCAACTATGAACGAAAATATTCTAGATCAGGTCTTCACAAACAATTGACAAATAATCGGGGACATGACGAACCCAGATACCACATACTCAGATCACAAGCTCATTGAAGTGCAAACTACCATCAATACTCAGAATAGGCCTAAAACAATGATCAAGCGAGAGGAGTTATTCAGTAAATTCAATTTTAATAATAAAAGGATAGACTGGGAGAAAATAAACAGGGAACTTACAATTATTCAATGGGACACTGTTCTAAGTAATACATATCTTTCACAAGGAATATTGAAACTGACTTCTGAAGCATATAAAGTTTGTCTGAAACATGTACCTTTCAAGAAAGCCAGAAGGAGGTCCAACGTATAAAGAGAACGCAGACGACTCTGCAAAAGAATGGGGAAAATAACGGAAATTCTTAATCAGACACGACTTTCAAAACAAAGGAGGAATAATTTAATCAGGGAGATTAAAGAAATAGAACAGAGAATGAAGCATTCATATCAGATTGAAGAAAGGCAACTAGAACAAAAGTAATTCAAGAAATAAAGAAAAAACAAAATGTTTCTTCACATATGCTAAATCTAAAGCGAAAACCACTGCAAGTATTGGATCTATTCGTACAAGTGAACGTAAATTCATACACTGAGGATGACAAAGAAATTATTGAAATCTTAAAAAAGCAGTATGAGGACATGTTTAGCACTCCAATAAACAGCATAAAAGTGGAAGACCCGGACAACTTCGTTATGCATGAAATTCAAACCCATGTAAATATAACTGATATTAATACGAGCGTGGCAGATTTGGAAAGAGAAATTGACAACTTGCCCATGCACTCAGCCCCGGGTCCAGACTCACGGAATTCAATATTTATAAAGAAATGCAAAATGCCAGTGGTACAGACACTCAGGTGAGAGGGAAGAGCTAGGACACGGGGGAGATACCAGATGCGCTTAAACAAGCAGACATAGCCTCTCTACACAAGGGAGGGAGCAAAGTATTGGAAAAAATTATAGGCTAGTTGCACTAATGTCCCACATAATAAAATTATTTGAGAGAGTGATCAGGAGTCAGAGTCTCATTTTCGTATAACCTCTCACAGCTACTTGACCACTATGATAAACTCACTGAGGCATTGAAAGAAATACAGAAAGCAGATATGGTATACACGGACCTCGTAAAGGCATTCGATAAATGTGATCATAGAGTGATAGCACACAAAATGAGGTCAATGGGAACAAGTGGTAAAGTAGGACGGTGGGTGCTCAATTTTCTGTCAACACAGAGAGTAACATTCAACCATATAAAATCGTATCCAAGCGCATTTAAAAGCACTCTATCTCGGAGTACAGTCCTTGCACCACTGCTTTTCCTTATTCTCATATCATATATAGACTAAAATACAAGGCAAAGCTTCGTATCATCCATTGCAGATGACACAGAAATGAGCATGAAAACTACCTCTGCTGAAGACATTGAAAAACTACAAGCAGATATTAATAAAGTTTTCGACTGGTCAGAAGAAAATAACATGATGTTTAACAGTGATAAATTCCAGGTACTCAGGTACGGTAAAAATGAGGCCATTAAACATAATACAGGGTGAAAAACACAATCGGATTGGCCCATAGTAAGGAAGCAGCATGTAAAGGATTTGGGAATAATGATGTCTGACGACCTAACGTTTAGGGAGTAAAACCAAGCAAATATTGCGTCAGCCAGAAAAATAATTGGATGGATTACAAGAACTTTCAAATCCAGGGATTCCATCACAATAGAATGCAGTGGAATCTATTGAACTATTGGAATGGATGGAATCTATTGTACTATTGGAATGGATGGAATCTATTGTACTATTGAAATGGATTGAATGTGATGTACTATTCAAATCACTTGTACTGTCCCGCCTTGAATACTGCTCAGTACTCACTTTCCTCTTTATAGCAGGAGAGATTGTTGAAACAGAGGCAGTGCAGAGAACATATACAGCACACATACACGCGATAAAGCATCTAAATTATTGGGATCGTCTCAAAGCTCTCAAAATGTACTCGCTAGAAAGGAGACGAGAGAGATATCAAATAATATACACCTGGAAAATACTGGAAGGCCAGGTCCCAAATCTACACAGCGAAATAACAACTTACTTGAGTGAACGATATGGAAGAAAATGCAGAATAAAACCAGTAGGTGCCATAAGCTCAATCAGAGAACACTGTATAAACATCAAAGGTACATGGTTGTTGAACATCCTCTCAGCGAACATAAGAAATATTGCCGGAACAATCGTGGACATCTTCAGGAGAAAACTAGATTTTCTTCAAGAAATACCGGACCAACCGGGCTGTGGTGGATAAGTGGGCCTGCGAGCCACTTCAAACAAAAAAGTGTTGAACTAAGTTCTCGCAAGTCAAGCCTGGCCTTGGGCCGGGCTTGGGGAGTAGAAGAACTTCAGGAACCCCATCAAGAGCGTATCAAGAAGGAATCTATTGTGTTCTGTTTGATTGACGGGTCGTGTTCTGTGTGACTGGCAGGTCGTGTTCTGTGTGACTGGCAGGTCGTGTTCTGTGTGACTGGCGGGTCGTGTTCTGTGTGACTGGCGGGTCGTGTTCTGTGTGACTGGCAGGTCGTGTTCTGTGTGACTGACGGGTCGTGTTCTGTGTGACTGACGGGTCGTGTTCTGTGTGACTGACGGGTCGTGTTCTGTGTGACTGACGGGTCGTGTTCTGTGTGACTGGCAGGTCGTGTTCTGTGTGACTAGCGGGTCGTGTTCTGTGTGACTGACGGGTCGTGTTCTGTGTGACCGAGAGGGTCATGTTTTGTGTTGTGTAACTGTGTTTATTAGTCGACCAAAGTAGTAAATCGCAGAGTTATAAAACTCAATAAAAAGAGAAAAGACAACAAAGAATTTTGAAATACAACTTCAATGAAAGACAAATTTTGGATAATCTCAGGACACAGCATTGGTGATCCATAACAAGGTTGCCGAAGAAAGAAAGATGTAAAGGATCAATAATAGTGAAGCAGCAACACCAGCATGAGGCGTGTGTGTGTGTGTATCGCAGTCAATACAACTGTCTTAAGTATTGCAATAGAACATCACAGAATCTTATTTCTTAAAAAGCAGGTGATTTTAATGAGAAGCTATGTGAAAAAATGAAAAAAAATGCAGGAAAGAGAGAGAGAGAGAGAGAGAGAGAGAGAGAGAGAGAGAGAGAGAGAGAGAGAGAGAGAGAGAGAGGGGGGGGCAGAGGGGGGGGGGAGCCAGCTTGGGGAGACCATTAACAGAAGGCCATCCAACGCCACGACGCTGTTAATCTCCATGGAAAAAGGAACCGCTTGTATCAAGGAGGCCTATCTGGAGAGATTCCATCAGGACAGCAAGGTAGAAAGTTCCCTCCCCACCTTACACAACCCCCTCACCTTACACTCCCTCCCCACCTTACACTCCCTCCCCACCTTACACTACCCCCTCACCCTACACTCCCTCCCTACCTTACACTCCCTCCCCACCTTACACTACCCCCTCACCCTACACTCCCTCCCCACCTTACACTCCCTCCCCACCTTACACTCCCTCCCCACCTTACACTACCCCCTCACCCTACACTCCCTCCCCACCTTACACTACCCCCTCACCCTACACTCCCTCCCCACCTTACACTCCCTCCCCACCTTACACTACCCCCTCACCCTACACTCCCTCCCCACCTTACACTCCCTCTCCACCTTACACAACCCCCTCACCCTACACTCCCTCCCCACCTTACACTCCCTCCCCACCTTACACTACCCCCTCACCCTACACTCCCTCCCCACCTTACACTCCCTCCCCACCTTACACTACCCCCTCACCCTACACTCCCTCCCCACCTTACACTCCCTCCCCACCTTACACAACCCCCTCACCCTACACTCCCTCCCCACCTTACACTCCCTCCCCACCTTACACTACCCCCTCACCCTACACTCCCTCCCCACCTTACACTACCCCCTCACCCTACACTCCCTCCCCACCTTACACTCCCTCCCCACCTTACACAACCCCCTCACCCTACACTCCCTCCCCACCTTACACTCCCTCCCCACCTTACACTACCCCCTCACCCTACACTCCCTCCCCACCTTACACTACCCCCTCACCCTACACTCCCTCCCCACCTTACACTCCCTCTCCACCTTACACAACCCCCTCACCCTACACTCCCTCCCCACCTTACACTCCCTCCCCACCTTACACTACCCCCTCACCCTACACTCCCTCCCCACCTTACACTCCCTCTCCACCTTACACTACCCCCTCACCCTACACTCCCTCCCCACCTTACACTACCCCCTCACCCTACACTCCCTCCCCACCTTACACTCCCTCCCCACCTTACACAACCCCCTCACCCTACACTCCCTCCCCACCTTACACTCCCTCCCCACCTTACACTACCCCCTCACCCTACACTCCCTCCCCACCTTACACTACCCACTCACCCTACACTCCCTCCCCACCTTACACTCCCTCCCCACCTTACACTACCCCCTCACCCTACACTCCCTCCCCACCTTACACTCCCTCCCCACCTTACACAACCCCCTCACCCTACACTCCCTCCCCACCTTACACTCCCTCCCCACCTTACACTACCCCCTCACCCTACACTCCCTCCCCACCTTACACTCCCTCCCCACCTTACACTACCCCCTCACCTTACACTCCCTCCCCACCTTACACTCCCTCCCCACCTTACACTACCCCCTCACCTTACACTCCCTCCCCACCTTACACTCCCTCCCCACCTTACACTCCCTCCCCACCTTACACTACCCCCTCACCTTAAACTCCCTCCCCACCTTACACTCCCTCCCCACCTTACACTCCCTCCCCACCTTACACTCCCTCCCCACCTTACACTCCCTCCCCACCTTACACTACCCCCTCACCTTACACTCCCTCCCCACCTTACACTCCCTCCCCACCTTACACTACCCCCTCACCCTACACTCCCTCCCCACCTTACACTCCCTCCCCACCTTACACTCCCTCCCCACTTTCTGGAAAGTATTAATAAGTAAATTTTTCTCTGTTGATGAAGATAAATTTTTAGTTCCTGGGATAAAATCTGTCATCCTTTTAAGTTCTTTTGACAGTTACTTACTTGCTCACAAGCCTGAACAACAACATTTGCAAATAAGCCGACGATATAACATAAAGCAGAGAATTAAATTCAGAAGAAGACACAAAGTCTCTACAACTCCTGACAGGTTGTAGAGAGATCTCTACAGAGCCCTCTCCACAGAGACCTCTCCACAGTGACCTCTCCACAGAGACCTCACCACAGAGACCTCTCCACAGAGCCCTCTCCACAGAGACCTCTCCACAGTGACCTCTCCACAGAGACCTCACCACAGAGACCTCTCCACAGAGCCCTCTCCACAGAGCCCTCTCCACAGAGACCTCTCCACAGAGACCTCTCCACAGAGCCCTCTCCACAGAGACCTCTCCACAGAGACCTCTCCACAGAACCCTCTCCACAGAGCCCTCTCCACAGAGACCTCTCCACAGAGACCTCTCCACAGAGCCCTCTCCACAGAGACCTCTCCACAGAGCCCTCTCCACAGAGCCCTCTCCACAGAGACCTCTCCACAGAGCCCTCTCCACAGAGCCCTCCCCACAGACCCCTCTCCACAGAGCCCTCTCCACAGAGCCCTCTCCACAGAGACCTCTCCACAGAGACCTCTCCACAGAGACCTCTCCACAGAGACCTCTCCACAGAGACCTCTCCACAGAACCCTCTCCACAGAGCCCTCTCCACAGAGACCTCTCCACAGAGACCTCTCCACAGAGCCCTCCCCACAGAGACCTCTCCACAGAGACCTCTCCACAGAGCCCTCTCCACAGAGACCTCTCCACAGAGACCTCTCCACAGAGCCCTCCCCACAGAGACCTCTCCACAGAGACCTCTCCACAGAGACCTCTCCACAGAGCCCTCTCCACAGAGTCCTCTCCACAGAGACCTCTCCACAGAGACCTCTCCACAGAGCCCTCTCCACAGAGTCCTAGCCACAGAGACCTCTCCACAGAGACCTCTCCACAGAGACCTCTCCACAGAGCCCTCCCCACAGAGACCTCTCTACAGAGACCTCTCCACAGAGACCTCCCCATAGAGACCTCCCCACAGAGACCTCTCCACAGAGCCCTCTCCACAGAGACCTCTCCACAGAGCCCTCTCCACAGAGTCCTAGCCACAGAGACCTCTCCACAGAGACCTCTCCACAGAGACCTCTCCACAGAGCCCTCCCCACAGAGACCTCTCCACAGAGACCTCTCCACAGAGACCTCCCCATAGAGACCTCTCCACAGAGCCCTCTCCACAGAGTCCTAGCCACAGAGACCTCTCCACAGAGACCTCTCCACAGAGACCTCTCCACAGAGCCCTCCCCACAGAGTCCTAGCCACAGAGACCTCTCCACAGAGACCTCTCCACAGAGACCTCCCCATAGAGACCTCCCCACAGAGACCTCTCCACAGAGCCCTCTCCACAGAGACCTCTCCACAGAGACCTCCCCATAGAGACCTCCCCACAGAGACCTCTCCACAGAGACCTCTCCACAGAGACCTCTCCACAGAGCCCTCCCCACAGAGACCTCTCCACAGAGACCTCCCCATAGAGACCTCCCCACAGAGACCTCTCCACAGAGCCCTCTCCACAGAGACCTCTCCACAGAGCCCTCTCCACAGAGACCTCTCCACAGAGCCCTCTCCACAGAGTCCTAGCCACAGAGACCTGAGAGAGGGGGTTGCATCCCTCTCACATGTGGTGTTATGGTCAATGTAAGCATCCCAGTGATCCATGAACGGTTTAGTATTATAGCTGAAATAACTTTGAGACGTTGGTCCACACTAACCTCTCCCGACACTCACACTTCTGACTCTCCACCTCGCCAAACACCGCACTTGCATCCTCTCCCTCTTTCAGTACCCCATATAATGCTATTTAATATTTATCTAGCAACTCCTCAATTTTTCATTGGTAAATGTATTTTCCACCTACTGAGCCTAATTACTCATTCAATGGTTGGATTTCATTGTCTCACAATAGACTGATCATTCTATCCACTGTCTCATGCTTCCTGAAACCATCTTGAGGTTATCTTGAGTTGATTTCGGGGCTTTAGTGTCCCCGCGGCCCGGTCCTTGACCAGGCCTCCACCCCCAGGAAGCAGCCCGTGACAGCTGACTAACACCCAAGTACCTATTTACTGCTAGGTAACAGGGGCATTCAGGGTGAAAGAAACTTTGCCCATTTGTTTCTGCCTCGTGCGGGAATCGAATCCGCGCCACAGAATTACGAGTCCTGCGCGCTATCCACCAGGCTACGAGGCCCCCCGAACGCCTCGACATACCCTAAGTCTTTTGTTTTTGTCTACCTTGAACAGAAGATCCTGTTCACGTGGCACACTACCGAGTCGCCACAAGTCAATAGGCTCCACCCTTATTTTATTGTGATATACAGCTGTCCCTGTTCAAGTAATTCTCTGCCTGCATATCAGAGAAGTAGTTTAATATTTTACTAAGGTTATTCTCAACCAATGCTTGCCTGATTATGGGTTTCCTGCTCTTCTGTGGTCCTCGTTCACAAACCAGTCTCAAAGCATCCTGCTGGAAATGCTTGTTTGCTCGACATTTTGGCTTTCCAGCAGACGCTATACTTGCTCCTGTCAGTCAATGCCTTAAGCAACAGACAAAGTTCGTACAGGGCTTGAGGAGAGGGCATGATGTGTGCTACTGTTGATCCCACGGGCCGCTCTTAATGCTCCTAGTACAGTACTAGGAAATTCATTTAAGAACTCTTGTTTCGTTGACTATTTTCATCAATGTGAATTCTTTCAACTGTGTTAGAGAATATAGTTACCGAATTAATAATAAGCAGTAAAGTATCTCTAAATAACTAATTTGATCTAAAAGTATATTCGTTCTCATTATATTCCTATTCTCCAATTGATTGATTTGTCTTCTATATATATATATATATATATATATATATATATATATATATATATATATATATATATATATATATATATATATATATATGTCGTACCTAGTAGCCAGAACGCACTTCTCAGCCTACTATGCAAGGCCAGATTTGCCTAATAAGCCAAGTTTTCATGAATTAATGTTTTTTCGGCTACCTAACCTACCTAACCTAACCTAACCTAACTTTTTCGGCTACCTAACCTAACCTAACCTATAAAGATAGGTTAGGTTAGGTTAGGTAGGGATGGTTAGGTTCGGTCATATATCTACGTTAATTTTAACTCCAATAAAAAAAAATTGACCTCATACATAATGAAATGGGTAGCTTTATCATTTCATAAGAAAAAAATTAGAGAAAATATATTAATTCAGGAAAACTTGGCTTATTAGGCAAATCGGGCCTTGAATAGTAGGATGAAAAGTGCGTTCTGGCTATTAGGTACGACATATATATATATATATATATATATATATCATGTATTAGTCAGCAGACAACCGTGGCTTTATGTAGACTCCCTTACAATAAGTTTCCAGTGTGTTTGATGGGCTTGTCCGTGGCAGCGGGAGCACGGCGGAACACGCGTCCCGTGTCCAACAGACGGGCAGGTACGTCCAACTGGGCCGTGTCGCTCTTGTATGCTCGCTCTCTCTCCCTTTGTTGCTCTTGTGAGAGGAATGTGAGAGTTGTGCCGCTTCTCTCTCTCTCTCTCTCTCTCTCTCTCTCTCTCTCTCTCTCTGGAGGAGGGGAGTTTTTACGTGTATTCACGCACATTTACTTTACATTTACTGCCATTTACTGACGTATTACAGTTTGACATTATCAATGCATTTCTTAGTTCATGTATTTCTTTAGCACTCAAATACCGGTGTAGTTTATTGGAAATCCTTCTGACAGATTCGGGGACACAATTTTCTCCTGTCTTCCCAATTTTGTGCACAAACCATCACAAAGAATGTCTTTGTTTACATAACAAATATTCTAAGAGTATTTTACGTGTGAGGATTATGTCTTCTCTCTTAAAGACTCAAGCCGATCACTTGTTTTACTTGTACCTGGTCCTCTCCTTGTACCTGGTTCTCCTGGTACTTGGTCCACCTGGTACCTGGTCCTCCTAGCTCTGGCTCTTTGGTCCCGCCTCTCAACCGTCAATCAACTGGTGTACAGGTTCCTGAGCCTACTGGGCTCTATCATATCTACTTTTGAAACTGTGTATGGAGTCAGCCTCCACCACATCACTGCCTAATGCATTCCACCTGCTAAATATTCTGACACTGAAAAAGTTATTTTTAACGTCCCTGTGGCTCACGTGGGTACTCAGTTTCCACCTGTGTCCCCTTGTTCGCGTACCACCAGTGTTAAATAGTTTATCCATGTCTACCCGGTCGATTTCCCTAAGGATTTTGTAGGTAGTGATCATGTCGCCCCTTAGGGGCCGATAGAATAGTTTTGGAAAAGTTGTTCAATGTCAACCAATATTTTTTGACTAGTTATATATGAAAAGTGCTGAAATTGTCCCAAGTTTCAGTACTGCAGCGTAAATAGAAAGGGAGATGTTTTTTTCATCGTTATTTACACATTTTCAAGTCTACACTTCAGAACACACGTTTCAGATGTAATTATTCTGTGACACTTTTCTGACACATTTGCATATAATAAAGGATTGTTAGATAAATTCCAAAACATCTTTAGTTTTCCAAATGCAAATTTTCAAAGTTCCCCCCCAAAATTATGCAAATATGGCATGTTTATTGCTATTATAAAATCAATAAATGAACTTAGAGAAAAAATCTTTCCACCAAATGTAGAGACATGCCCTCCACATATACTGTGTAAGTTTCATGTAAATTGAATAAAAAAATGAAAAAGTTTTGTAAACGTTTGTCAATTGAAAAAAAACAGCAAATAATAAAGTCTAAGGTTCTAAAATCTGTAGCTGAGGTTGACATCAACCAATTTTCTCCAAAAATTGGCATCCTTACAGATAGGCTTACGTGCAGTTAGGTGTATAAGTTTTATGCAAATCGGCCGAAAAAAAAGAAAAAAAAATGAAAAAAAAAAAATCAATTATTTTTTTTTAACTTAAATTTTTTTCCAATTAAACTAATTATAATATTTGTTTAGTATATGCTATTGTGATAGCAAAGAGTCATAGCTATGATTTTAGTTGACACTTTTGTTTGATAATCGTTTTTGACCATTTTGGCATAATTTTCCCACCTACTTCAATATTTTTTTCTCCCTTCCTATTTATGCTACGATGCTGAAACTTGGACCAGATGAAAAACTTTTCTTATAAAACCTGTTAAAAAAGTTTGATTTAAATCGAAAGAGTTTTAATTTATTGCATTTTTGGAACCAAAGGGCCCCTTAGTGTGTGTGTGTGTGTGTGTGTGTGTGTACTCACCTAGTTGTACTCACCTAGTTGTGTTTGCGGGGGTTGAGCTCTGGCTCTTTGGTCCCGCCTCTCAACCGTCAATCAACAGGTGTACAGATTCCTGAGCCTATTGGGCTCTATCATATCTACACTTGAAACTGTGTATGGAGTCAGCCTCCACCACATCACTTCCTAATGCATTCCATTTGTCAACCACTCTGACACTAAAAAAGTTCTTTCTAATATCTCTGTGGCTCATTTGGGCACTCAGTTTCCACCTGTGTCCCCTTGTGCGTGTTCCCCTTATGTTAAATAGACTGTCGTTATCTACCCTATCAATTCCCTTCAGAAACTTTAATGTGGTGATCATGTCCCCCTAACTCTTCTGTCTTCCAGCGAAGTGAGGTTTAATTCCCGTAGTCTCTCCTCGTAGCTCATACCTCTCAGCTCGGGTACTAGTCTGGTGGCAAACTTTGAACCTTTTCCAGTTTAGTCTTATCCTTGACTAGATATGGACTCCATGCTGGGGCTGCATACTCCAGGATTGGCCTGACATATGTGGTATACAAAGTTTTGAATGATTCTTTACACAAGTTTCTGAATGCTGTTCGTATGTTGGCCAGCCTGGCATATGCCGCTGATGTTATCCGCTTGATATGTGCTGCAGGAGACAGGTCTGGCGTGATATCAACCCCCAAGTCTTTTTCCTTCTCTGACTCCTGAAGAATTTCCTCTCCCAGATGATACCTTGTATCTGGCCTCCTGCTCCCTACACCTATCTTCATTACATTACATTTGGTTGGGTTAAACTCTAACAACCATTTGTTCGACCATTCCTTCAGCTTCTCTAGGTCTTCTTGAAGCCTCAAACAGTCCTCTTCTGTTTTAATCCTTCTCATAATTTTAGCAACACACACACACACTGTGTGTGTGT